TTTCTGTGACTGGCTTAGTTCACTTAGCGAGTGTCCTCAATGGTTACCATTGTTGCATGTTGCAGAATTTCCTTCTTTTTTTATGGTGAGGAAGATAGGCTCCGAGCTAACATCTGTTGCCAATCTTCCTTCACTTTGTATGTGGGCTGTCACCAGAGCATGGCTTGATGAGCGATGTGTAGGTCTGTGCCTGGGATCCAAACCCACAAACCCTAGGCCAATGAAGCGGAGTGCATGAACTTAACCACTAGACCACTGGGCCAACCCCCCTGGAATTTCCTTCTTTTTAAAGGCTGAATAATATTCCATAGTATGCATATACCACATTTTCTTTATCCATTTTTCCACCGATGGACATTTAGGTTGTTTCCATATCTTGACTATTGTGAAAAACGCTGCAATGGACATAGGAACGCTAACATCTTTTCAAGGTCCTGATTTCAATTCTTTTGGGTATACACCCAGAAGTGGAATTGCTGGATCCTATGGTAGTTCTTTGTTTAATGTCTTGTGGAACCTCTATTCTGTTTTCCACAGTGGCTGCATCATTTTGCATCTCCACCAACAGTGCACAAGTGTTCCAACTTCTCCACATCCTCGCCAACACTTGTTGTCTTTTGTGTTTTTAATAATAGCCATGCTGATGAGTGTGAGGGGGTTTCTCATTGTTGCTTTGATTTGCATTTCCCTGATGATTAGTGATGTGTGGTATTGTTATTATTATGGTTCTAAGTTCTAGATGTTACAAGAAGTATTGTTGCATATTGTTCATCAAAATAAGGTGGAATTGATCCATACAAAGACAAAATTAGTTTATATATACCATGAAAAATTTCTTGGAAATACAAAAGAAACCATCATTAAGCTGGGGTGTCAAAGAAGCAGCCTCTGGTGGCAGCTTAATAATTGTAATTAGGGCTTGTTGAGCCCCAACACAGCACCAGGCCACCTTGCATTCCCTCAACCATGTCAAGCTTACTCTGGCCTCAGGGCCTTTGCACTTGCTGTTCCCACTGCCCGCAACTCTCTTCCTGTCAGCTATTCCCTCATTTCCTTCCAGTCACTACTCAAATGTCACCCTGTCAGAGGTGCCTTCCTTTCTCAATCTGTATAGCCCACCCTCATCTTTCTCTATCCCTGCCCTGTTTTATGTTTCTTCCTAGAACTTAGCACTCCTGACTAATTATGTATTTATATGGTTGCTTGTGCACTGGAGTGTGAGCTCCATGAGAACAGGGACTTGGTTTTGTTCACTTATGTATCCAGGACCTGGGCTGGTGCCTGGCACACAGTAGGGCTGCAAAATTAATTGTTGATGGAGGGAGACACCATGAAATCACGAAGTGTCTGATGGGGTGGGGCACAGGAACCTGGACTTCAACCGTGAGGCAATGGAGAGCAAGGAGTTCTTTTTAATTAGTTTCATTGTTGCCTTCATTTAAAATATGTATTTATGTGCAATAAAGTTAGTCCTTTTTGGTGCACAGTATTACGACTTTTGACAAATGAATACAGCCATGTAACCAACCTGACAGTCAACATATAGAACAGTTCTATCATCACCCCCAAATTCCCTTGTTACCCCACTCCCAGCCCCTGGCAACACTTGATCTGTTTTCTCTTCTTATAGTTTTACCTTTTTGAGAATCATCCAGGAGGTGGCCTCTTGGGTCTGGCTTCTCTTACTCAGCACAGTGGATTCGAGATTCATTCACGGTGAGATATCAATAGCTCATTCCTTTTTTTGTGTGTGTGTGTGAGGAAGATCAGCCCTGAGTTAACATTCATGCCTATCCTCCTCTTTTTGCTGAGGAAAACCGGCTCTGAGCTAACATCTATTGCCAATCCTCCTCCTTTTTTCCCCAAAGCCCCAGTAGATAGTTGTATGTCACAGATGCACATCCTTCTAGTTGCTGTATGTGGGACGCGGCCTCAGCATGACCGGAGAAGTGGTGCGTCGGTGCGCGCCTGGGATCTGAACCTGGGCGGCCAGTAGCAGAGCGTGCGCACTTAACCACTAAGCCACGGGGCCGGCCCCCTCATTCCTTTTTATGGCTATGTGGTATTCTGTTGTATGGACAGACCATGGTATGTTTATCCATTCCCCAGGTGAAGGACATTTGGGTTGTTTCCAGTTTTTGGTGATTATGAATAAATCTGCTATAAATGTTCATGTACAATTTTTTGTTAAAAAATTGAGATATAGTTCTCGTACTATAAAAGTCACCCTTTAAAGTGCATAATTCAGTGGCATCTAGTACATTCACAGAATTGTGCAACCATCACCACTATCTCGTTCCACAACATTCCATCACCCCAAAGAAACCCCCTCCTCGGCAGCAGCCGCTCCCCCTCCCCCTCTCCCCTGCTTTCTGTCTCTCTGGATTTGCCTATGCTGGACACTTCATATAAATGGAATCATACAATATGTGGCCTTTTGTGTTTGGCTTCTTTCACTCAGCAAGGTTCCTCCATGTTGTGGCGTGTGTCAGAGCTTCATTGCTTTTTATGGTTGAGTGATATTCCATGATATTAACATACTGCATGTCATTATCCATTCATCCACTGATGGATATTTGGGTTATTTCTACTTTTTGGCTATTGTGGATAATGCTACTATGAACATTCATGCATAAGTTTTAATGTGGACATATATTTTCAATTCTCTTGGGTATATACATAGGTGTGAAAATTACTGAGTCATGTGGTAACGCTATGTTTAGCTTTTTAAAGAACTGCCAAATTGTTTTCCAAAGAGCTGCACCATTTTTCATTCCCACAAGTAATGTATGAGGATTTTAATTTCTCCACATCCTCATCAACATTTGTTATTTTTTTTTTTATTATAGCTACCCTAGTGGGTGTGAGGTGGTATCTTATTGCGGTTTTGATTTGCATTTCCCTAATGACTAATGATGTTGAGCATCTTTTCATGTGCTTATTGGCCATTTGTATATCTTCTTGGAGACATGTCTACTCAAATCCTTTACCTGCATTGTTTTGTTTTAATAGACTTTATTTTTAGAGCAGTTTTAGGTTCACAGCAAAATTGAGGAAGGTACAGAGATTTCCCATCTATCCCCCTGCCGCCACATATGCACAGCCTCTCCCCTTATCAACATCCCCCACAGAGCGGTGCATTCATTATAGCTGATGAACCTATGCTGACACAGCATCATCATCCCAAGTCCACAGTTTACATTACTCTTTAGTCTTGGTGTTGTACATTCTGTGGGTTTGACAAGAGTATAATGGCATATACCCATCATTATAGTCTCATACAGAGTAGTTTCACTGCCCTAGACATCCTCGTTGCTCCAACGATGCATCCCACTCTCCCTTAACCTTCACCCACTTTTTACTTGGATTATTTATCTTTTTATTGTAGACTTGTAAGAGTTCTTTATAGATTCTGGAGACTAGCATCTTATCAGAAATCCATTCTGTGGGCATGTACAGGGTTTCGGTGCACATAGGTTTTCATTTCCCTGGGGTAAATATGCAGGAGTGGGACTGCTGAGTCATGTATGTTTAACTTTAAAAGAAACTGCCAACCCGTTTTCCAGAGCGGCTGTGCCATTCTGCAACACCACCAGCAATAGGAACAGTTCCAGTTGGTCCACGTCTTCGCCAACACTCTGTATTGTCAGTTTTTAAGGAAATCATCCTCAGGAACCCTTTAAAGCCTGATCATAGTCACATTTTACAGATGGCTTCACACACTTGGGCAGAGGATGGCAGCTGAGGCAGAGTCCAGAGGAGCCTGCTGACAGGAACTGTGATGGTCCAGGCCAGGGAGAGGGAGGAGGGAAAGGAGAAGACAGAAGCGTAGTTCAAGGAATTTGGAGTGTGGGGCTGGGAAAGTCTGAGCAGGAGAGGAAAGTGGAAAGAGGTGAGACTTGGAACAAGAAGGGCATGGTGGGCCGGCCTGGTGGCACAGCAGTTAAGTGCGTGCACTCTGCTGCGGTGGCCCAGAGTTCGGATTCTGGGCGCGCACCGACGCACCGCTTGTCAAGCCATGCTGTGATGGCGTCCCATATAAAGTAGAGGAAGATGGGCGTGGATGTCAGCCCAGGGCCAGTCTTCCTCAACAAAAAGAGGAGGATTGGCAGATGTTAGCTCAGGGCTGATCTTCCTCCCTCCCCCCCCCCAAAAAAAAGAAGGGCATGGAACGCCAGGCTCAGGGCTTTTGAAACCAAGATGTTCTACCCAAGAGGATTCTGGGTCTTAATAAGGTTGCCACTTGCTATGTTGTATCTATGCTTTGAGGATGCATGGTGCACACTAGCATGTTAAAGGCTCTGACAAGTCCTGCAATAAAGAACTCTGGTGTTATTTAACCCACTGTTTCTCAAACTAAGCCCATGGATCTCTTTTCTCCAGCCGTAACATCCTCCTCCTCCTCATCTCCAACGCACACCTCATCTAGCTTGTTCATTATTATGCTCCCACAGCCTAGAATGGGCTTATAGCCAATGGCCAGTTTTTTTTTTTAATTGTATTAATGATCTCTTTAGATCTTGAGAACAACTCTATGAGATAGGTACTAATACAATTTCCGTCTCACAAATGAGGCTCAGAGAGGTCAGATGACTTGGCCACACAGCTAAGGCCACACAGCCTGTGGGTAGAGAACTGGAATTTGAGCTGGGACATGCTCGCAGCCTCTCCACCATCCTGCCCATCTCTGGAAGGCACCTCACATCCCCAGAGCCACACCCCCGGCCCCTATCTTAGTGGCAGATGTGGTCTCCCCACTGAGGGCTGCCCTGTGACCTCCTGCGGTCCTTTGTGCCCTGTTGGCTGTGGACATACTCGGGCTGTTGCTCAGAGAGCTCGGCTGTAACTTGAATCTCGCCTAGGCTGGGGGTGACCAGGTGGGTGGGCGGGTGACAGCCAGGGCAGAGAGGTTTGCCCAGACACTGGTGCGTGGCAGCCTGGCAACCCGTGTGGCCCTGATGAGACTGGGGGCTTCCAAAGCGTGTTCCAGGGCTGGCGGTGGTCCCCACATGGGCAACAAGCAGACAGTTTTCACTCAAGAGCAGCTGGAAGCATATCAGGTAGGGGTGAGGAGCCGGGCTCTTGTGGGTTTGGCAGCCTCGGTTTCCTGGCCTGAGAAACGGGGACAGCATCCCTTCCTCCGGGCGTGCAGTCAGGACGGTTCCCTGCGCAGCTCTGAGTGTGGCGTCAGGCGGAGGCGGGCGTGGGGCTGAGGGAGAGGACGGAGGCCCCCGAGGCAGGGCCTGGGCCAAGCCAGCATCTCTCTCCGGCAGGACTGCACTTTCTTCACAAGGAAGGAGATCATGAGGTCAGTCTGGAGGGGAGGGAAGAAGATCTGGAAACAACTTTCCACACTAGCGGATTTGCAGTTTGACAGGGCCCGGTACCTCACAGCGGTTAAAGCACTACTGGGGGGATTGCAGGCCTGGTCAGTGGACGGAGGCAGAGCTGGGGAGGCTGAGTCGTCCCGTCTCACCATATTGCCACACCTCTAGGCTGGGCTTGGGCTTTCTCTAGGGGTGGCGGGGAGCCATGGAGAGTGTGAGAGCTGGGCAGAGACAGGTCAGCGTGTTAGAAAGGTGCCCCTGAGGCCAGTGGGAACTGGAGGCTGGGAACCTGGGGGCAGGGCCGGGAGCCAGCTCTGGGCTGTGGGGTCGGCATCAGGTGAGGGCGCCGGGAGGCAGCCTGAAGCTGCTGCAGTCCCTGGCGTGAGTGATACAGGCATAGGTGGGTGTCCCACGTCATCGCTCGGCCCATGGAGCCATTGTCCGGAGGCCCCGACCCATGAACTTGGAGTCGTGAAACCCAAGCTGGCAGGGTTCGGCTGCAGAGTGATCGGGGCCAAGGCCCCAGTTGTGTGGGCATGGGACATCCATTATTGATGGGCACAGCTCTTAGCAGTGAGCCCCATTGTGTGGGGAGGACAGCTCACAGGGTCAGCCTGGCCCTCACGATCGGATTACTGATGGGGAAACTGAGGCTTGGACAGGGGCGGCTGCCTCCGGCTCTGCAGGCCGGCAGAGCCCCAAGAAGTTTCAGGGCTGACATTTCATCTGTCCCAAGCTTCTTACTGGTCAGGTCAACTAATTGAGGCTCGGAGGGGACGAGGGACATGTTCAAGGCCACGCAGAAACCCAAGCCCAGGCTGGGCCCTGAGGAGATGCTGACAGGGACTGGGTGAGCAGGACTGAAACTCCTGACACCTCTCCTCAAGTTCCTTGCCATCAAATGACCCAGGGACGCCCGACTCCTTCAGAGATGGTCCCTAGCAGCTTGGGGACCTCTGATTTCTCAAGATGATCTCTACAAGGCTGCTGCTCCGCATGCCCCCAGTGAAGATAGGATGTCACCAGGTGAGGGCATTACAGTGGAGAGCTGGCCTCACAATCTAGGTAGTGTAGGTGGCATTTGGTGTTTTGCAAAATGTCTTTCGTTCACCCTTAAAAAATCCCTGAATATTAGCCTTTGTCTCTGCTCTGCCCATTGAGGGAACCCTGCCTCCCACTATGGAGGGAGAGAAGGGAAGTGTGAAGATGGGGGTCTTTAGAAGCAGGGTCTTGCTGACAATGTGATGATGTCCAGAGATTCATAGATCTGCTCAGATTCTCTGAATGCTCCATGTGAAATGACCTCGCCTTAAGCACCCTCCCTTCTGTCATCCCCATCTGCCTGGTAACCTCCTACCCAGGCTTCAAAGCCCAGCATTAATGCCCCTTCCTTCAGGAAGTCCTTCCTCCTCCCTGGCTTGCTTTCCCTAATCTAGTCTCCCCTAGCTCTGGGTCCCTCTCTCCACCTTGACCCTGTCCCCAGGGGGGTAGAAGTGCCTGTGTCTGGGTCTGTGCCTTTGAAAGCTGGGCCCAGGGCTGATGGCCCTTGGGGACCCAGCATCCTTCAGTATAGAGTGAGCTGCTGCGAGAGTGAGAGAGGAGGGACAAGTCCCCCGCTCCCGTCTCCCAGCTCTTCCTGCATTTCCCTCCCTATACCAGGCTCTTCTATCGCTACCAGGACCTGGCCCCCCAGCTTGTCCCTCTGGACTATACCAGCTGCCCCAATGTGAAGGTGCCCTACGAGCTCATCGGCAGCATGCCTGAGCTGAAGGTATGCCTGGGCCATGGGGCAGGCAGAGAAAAAATAGTAGGGATGCCCCTGCTGCATTCCTATGAGGTGGGTGCTGCAATTATTCCCATTTTACAGATGAAGAAACCGAGGTTCAGAGAGGTTGAGACACTTGTTCATGGCCACACAGCCAGGACATAACAGAGATAGGATTCAAACCCTGGGTTGTCGGGAAGATGAGATGAGATAAAGCAGGTGAAGGGCTCAGCACAGGGCCTGTCGTTTTGCAAGTACTCAAGTAACGTTAGTTCTTCTTTTCATAGTAGGAACTACTAAATACGGTTTCTCCTCAGCTGGATGTTTGACACATGGTTCGTGCCTTTGAAGGGAACTTGTGGGATGAGTGACTGTGAGTAGAGATTATTTTATCACAAGGGACAGAAGCCTCATTCAAGAGGGACAGAATGGGTTGCATCACATGAGCAAAAAGTCCAGGGGCAGGTCTGGCTAACGTCAGGCACGGCTGGAACCGGGGTCTCTGAGGACGTGCTGTGAAATTTCCCTCTGTCGCTCAGCTCCTCCCAGGGCGAGGCTTCCGCCTCACGCAGCCTGTCCTCTTGAGGTAGTGAAGGGGGGCCCCAGCACCCCAGCTTTCCTCCCGTCAGCTCTGCATCCAGAAGAAAGCAGGTCCCTCCCTCTCAGTTTTTCAGAAAACAGCCCAGGGCAGCCTCTGATTGGCCAGTTTGAGTCATACGCCCACCCCAGAGCCAATCACAGTTGCCAGGTGAATGGAAATCTCTGATTGGCCTCACCTGGGTCACGTGGCTGCCTCTGGAGCTGGAAGCAGGGTCAACGCCCCCAGACCACGGGGGCAGAGTGTGGAGTTGCATGACATCCTCTCTAGGGTCCAGGGGAGCGAGGGGGTCTTGGCAGGGGTGCTTGGAGGTTCCCAGGGAGTAGGTGCTGAGAGTGAGACCATGTGGAGCCTGTGGGACCCTGCTCAGGGGTGGCTTCCATGCTTCCCGGCCCCAGGACAACCCCTTCCGCCAGAGGATCGTACAGGTCTTCTCTGAGGACGGGGACGGCCACATGACCTTGGACAACTTCCTGGACATGTTTTCCGTGATGAGCGAAATGGCTCCCCGAGACCTCAAAGCCTACTATGCTTTTAAAATTTATGGTGTGTGTGGGGCCCTGGGGTGGGGGCGTGGGGGTGGGAGGTGGGAACAAGTCCAGGCCTTGGACCAGGGGCTTGCGCTGCCATCACAAACGTGTCCCAAAAGCCTTCGAGGCCCTGCATGGCCCTGTCTTCCACCCCACCCCGTACCGCCCAACCTCGTCCCCCTGCTCCCTCCATCCAGCCGCGCTGGCCTGGCTCCTCCTCCAGCACACGAACAGGGTTCAGGGCAGGCCGCCCCAAGATGTGCCACTCTGGTATGTGGATTATTTGGAGCTGAAGACAATAAAGGCTCAGAAGACTCTGAAAGAAACTTTGACCCCACCCCCACCCCACTAACTAAAATAATTTAAGATAAAAGGCCTGTACCCAGGACAGGCCATCAGAGTAGATAACTCTGGGTATCGATAGACTGGGAGGGTCCTTGCTAAGCCCATTCTTATCAAAGTTCTGTTTACCAAGCATTTACATTTATAAGGGAAATCTCTATTTGTAAAGGTATCTCCCTCTCTGTACTGGGAAGAGGGGGTAAGACCTCATCTCTAGAAACTGGTCAATGCAGAGGGCAAGGCCTTAAATCTGCATATTAACCTTACTCTTGTTTACTGTGCTTTTCTGGTCATGTCCCATAGCTGACTCTCCCCACCCCCACATCTTCCTTTGTCTTTAGGTGAAGAGGGTATTTAAGATGAGAACCTCCACCATTTTGTCGAGTTACTCAGTTTCCCTGGTCTCTCCCACATATACATGTTATAAAGCTTTGTTTGATTTTCTCCTGCTATTCGGTCTCATGTCAATTTAATTTGTAGCCAGGCAGAAAGGACCCAGAGTGGGTAGAGGAGACTCTTCCTCCCCTACAACACCAAACTCTTTCTGCCTCCAGGCCTTTTCTCTGCTGTACCCTCTGCCTGGAACACCTTTCCCCTGGCTCCTTACCCTGAAGTTGAGGTCAAAAGTAGTCCCACCCAGGGTCTCTCTCCAGCCCACATCCTATGTCTCTCCTGGCATGAAGCAGTGCTGCTGAATTTCCTCTTCAGTCGTCTGTTCCCTTCTTATCAACTTTCTCACTGAGTAGGCCACGGGCAGTGACAGCGTCTGTTTTGTTCATCATCTGTCTCCCGTGCCTGGCACACAGTAGGTGCTCAATGAATACTTGTTGAATGAAAATGTATCCTGGTGCCTGGAACACAGTAACCACACCATAAACACTTGTTGAGTGAATGAATGAAAAACAGTTACACATGCCTGACATATAGTAGGTGCTCCATTAATGCTTGTTGAGTGAATGAATGACCTCCCAGGAGGTCCCTGCCCAATTCTAAAGCAAGACCCAGCTTTCCCCCCAAGGTCTTTGTTTCCCTCCAGTGCCTCAGTTTCCTCCCCTCTGACATGGGGACAAGTGTGCTGGCCCAGCCTGCCTGCCACCTGCTGTCTCCCCACCCTACGTCCCAACCTGTCCTGCTCTGCAGACTTTAACGATGACAACTACATCTGTGCGTGGGACCTGGAGCAGACGGTGACCAGGCTGACACGGGGGGAGCTGAGCGCTGAGGAGGTGAGCCTGGTGTGCGAGAAGGTGCTGGACGAGGCTGACGGGGACCACGACGGGCGGCTGACCCTGGAGGACTTCCAGAACATGATCCTGCGGGCGCCTGACTTCCTTAGGTGACACTCCTTGCCGCCCCGCGCAACCTGGTTCCACAAGTGAAAGGGGAGCTTACGGAGACAGTTCACAGGCTCCATTTGTGAAAGTTCCTCCATTCATTCATTTGTGACCTTGGAGAACTTTCCCAACCTCCCTGGCCTCAGTCCCTGCATGCTTAAAGTGGGGATACTTAGGGACCCCACGGAGACCTCCTGTGAGTGGATGCAGCTCTTTGGGCAAGTGGAACACGGCTGGACTTCAGCTCTCACTTGCCTGAACATTGTGCAGTGAACAGACTGTACAACTGTACTTGGCAGTCCTGGGGAGAATCAGAGCCCCCACTGTAGGGCTGATAGTGAAGGTTAAGTGAGTAAATACAAGGAGCAGTCTGCCACCTGTTTTTGTACCTCCCATGAGCTAGGAATGATTTTACATTTTTAAATGGTTGGGAAAAAAAAATCAAAGAATAATATCACTCCACGACACAGGAAAGTGACATGAAATTCAAATTTCTGTGTCCATCAGTAGTTTTCTTGGCACACAGCGATGCCCATTTGTGTACGTATTGTCTGTGGCTGCTCTCGAGCTACAAGGCAAAGTTGGAAATATCAACGATTTGCCCCTTGACAGAACGGAGTTGGCTGGCCCCTGAGTTAGCATGTGGAAAGAATGTAGAGCAATGCATGCACACAGTAGGTGCTCAGTAACTGTGTGCTATGGTTGCTGCTGTGGTTATTACCATTGGTGGGGTCCTGGCGTGCACAGGGGCCTCCTTGCTCTCCCCAGAGAAGTGCGGCTGTCTCCTGGCAGGTGTGACAACAGGATGGCTTCCGAACCGCTGACAGCACCCTCTGTGCGTCTGCCCCGCACGGTCGCCTCCTTGGCCCTCAGTACAGCCCCATGAAGGAGGGACAGCTGTTACCCCATTTTACCGGGGAGTAAACCGAGGCACAGAGGGGGGCAGCCACCCACTCGGAGTCCCACAGCAAGGCTGGGTGGAGCCGGGGTGCAAGCGCCAATTCAGAGAGATGTGCTCTCAACCCCTGTGGGGAGCAGCAGCGCCCGGGCTCTCTTGAGGGGTCCATGTCCCCACATGGCTCCCCGACTGCCCTGGGCCTCCAGGCCGAAGTGTTGGGGAGGGGGACAAAGGAAAGTTGCCCTCTGCCTGATGTCACTGACTCCGTTCCTCTCTGCACACAGCACCTTCCACATCCGCATCTGAGGGCACGGCGGAGGAGAAGCCAGGCCACAGGAGGGCGGCGTGACACTTGCCCTACTGTGAAATCCAGTCTTCCTGGGCTCTGGGAATAAACACATCACTGAGTCACACCTGCTGGGAGGACTTGTTTTCCACCTTAAACCTGGTGGATGGCAGGAGGGACGCCTGAGATCTCACCTCTGTCCTTGCTGTGTGACCCTGGGGGTGGCTATATCTTCTCTGGGCCACATTTGTACAAGAAAGGGGCTGACTTCTAGATCTCTCTCCACTGCAAGGCCTGAAAGTGCCTTGCTGTGGGTCTCAGTGGGCAGAGATGAGGTACAGAGATCACGCACATGCTGCCCCACCCCAGGACCCCTCAAGGCCAAACCCTACTCCCAACTGCTCGAGTCCCCTCTTTTCCCTCCATCCCTGAATTCCTCAAGGGGACTGAAGCTTTAACTCCTTGTTGATCCATTACAACTGCCAGAGGAGGCCTTTGGGGAGGGGGGGTGGCAGGAATGTCATTCACTGAGGCCGGCACAGTACTTTACAGTTGATGAAGCAGCCGCCTCTCTGCCATTGCATTGGCTACCAATGACATCCCAGCAGGCTGGCCGAGGAGCAGTCACACTTCATTCCGAGGGAACAGAAGTGACTTCCTGAGGCCACACCTCAAGTCGTCTGCAGGGGCAGAACTGAGCCCGGGCCCACCCCACTCCAGAGCCCCCACAGCTGGCAGATTTGGGAAGCCCCGCACCCACTCTACCTGCGGTCATCCTGGGGGCCCGGTCTGCGGCCCCGGTCAACGCAAGGAGTGGTCATCCCTGCAGCCAAGACCAGCCCCCAGGGACCTCCCCACACACCTCCACTGTGCATCATTTCTAGGGCACCACTCCCACCCTAACCACCATTTATTAAGCACCTACTGTGCACCAAAGCGCTGGGTTTTACACGCAGCCTGCCGGGTCATCCCAAGAAACAGGGAGTGCTCTCCTCCCCGTTTGCCAGATGAGGAGACAGGCCCAGAGATGTGTAGTGACTCACCACAGTCACACAGCCCTGCGACCTAGGACTCCCTCCAGAGCCCGGCCCAACTCCAGCCCTGGGCCACCTCTCCCTTTGTGAAAGGCAGGGGCTCCTGTGCTGCTCCTAAAGCTGACGGCGGGGTTGGGGGTGCTTCCTGCGCGCCAAGCCCTCCCTACGTCTGCCTCCTCTCTTTCCTCTCTGTCATTTGCACGAGAACCTGGGGAGGCATGAGTGAGCACGCACTTGGAGTTGAGCCTGGGAGCAGGGGATGGGGGAAGGGCTGGAAGTGAGTGGGCTTCAAATCCTGGCGCCGACACCCCATCGCCCTGTGACCTCAGCCACGCCTCTCCTCCTCTCTGAACCTGTCTCTCCTTTAACATGTGCAGAATGAGCCTACCTAACGGGCCCACTCAGAGGCGTAAAAGAAATAACGAACGTGGAGGGTCTGGTGCGGGGCCTGGCATACAGCAGGCGTTCCAGACCATTGCTGTAACTGGTTATTATTATTGTTATTCAAATAACCAGGTCACACCACTGACCACTGCAGGGACCAGACTCAAGCAATATCTTTATTGCATTTCTCAGGTTCCTGAGGGCTGGTGGGCAGTGGTGGAGAGCAAGGGGTCTGGGTGTAAGCAGCCCCCGGCAGCGAGGGTCCCTGGGCCAGGGCAAACCTTCTCTCTAGCAGTACCCGGGGGCGAAGGGCGGCGGTGGGCAGTACTCCTCGGGGAGCCAGTCCTTCTGGGCTTCTGCCAAGTCCCTCGGCTCTGGTTTGGACACCCGTGAGGACAGGGTCCTCAGGACCACTTGGTGCCAGCCCCCGACACTTGGGGTCACCTCGCTCCAGCTAGCCGACCTTGAGGCCTTCCTGGAGGAGTCACCTCTATCTCTCAGAGCCTGGGGCACAAATGGGTCCACGTGGGCGTTAACCTCCCAGGCCGCGTCACCCGCTGGGGCCCGCGTGCTGTGGGTCCCTGGGGACCACCCGGGGTCCCAGAGCGACGACAAGCTCGTGGCCTCCAGGTGGGATTTCAGCTGCTGCTGGACCCTCTTGCCTGTCTGGGGGACGGTCTTGAGGTTCTTCCAGAGTTTCCGGCAGGCCTTCTCAAGAGGAGCCTTCAGGGGACAGGAGGAAGTGGCTTCCTCGGTGGGCGCTCTGTGCATCTCTGCCGACGGCGTCCTTTCCTTTGGCCGATGGAGCAGGACGGGCTTTGCGGAGGCCTGAAACAGAGAGCAAGTGAGCGGGGGCAAGCTTGCCCACCACACCTCGGAATCTGCCCCAGAAATCGGGACCCGGGTCCTACCCAGATGCCCTGGGGCCCAGAATTGTCTCCGAGTGACCCTCCAAACCTGACCCCCCGCCCCCTCCTTGCCATCTCAGTAGATGGCTTTCCTATCTCCCCAGGGGTCAGCAAATGCTTTCTGTAAAGGGCCAGAGAGCAAATATTCTCAGCTTGGGGGCCCGTCTCTGCTGCTGTAGGGCAACAGCGGCCAGGGGTCGCAGGCCCGTGAACGAGCGAGCCGGCGTCCCAATAACACTGCGTGGACACGGCAATGTGCGTTTCAGCTGATGTTCATGGGTCATGAAATAGCATTTTTCTTTGGTTTTTTTCAACTATTCAAAAACGTAAACACCATGCTTAGCTCGACGGCCACACAGGAACAGGTAGTGGGCCGCACGTGGCCCTCGGGCTATAGTTTGCTGACCCCTGATCCGCCCAGGTGTTCAGGCCGAACACGTCGTGTCGTTTGTGCCAGGTGCTGCCGGCACCTCACCTGCACCCCTTCCCCGAGCACGGCAGCACCCCGGCCCCCTCCCCAACGTCACAAGTCGCAGACCAGAAGGGCCAGAGAACTACAGTCTCCCAGGAGCAGCGCTTGACCAATGACCGAAGGGAGCTGGAGGGTGAACACCCCGGCTCCCTCACCTGAGGAGGGATAACCGACGAGCACGCTCCGCGCAGTCCCAGCCTTCCAGGGGGACTGAGGACCGCGGGCCCCCAGGCCCAGCGCTTACTAACACAGACTTCACAGGCTGCCGCTCTCTCCCGTCGCGCTTCCCTGCTCTCCCAGTGGCCCCTCCTGGGATCATCTCCCCAGTAACGGAGGACAGGGGCTCAGACCATGACAACGTCCCTCTGCCTCTCATTTACCGTCTCCAAGCCATCAGCAGGCTCCCTTCTAAAACGTCCCAAATATCCACTTCTTTCTCTATCCCCAGGGACCCCCTTCTGGGCCCTCCCATCCGGACACTGCCTCTGCCTCCTTCCCGCCACCTCGACCACTGCCCCCAGACAGCCTCTTCTGAAGCCAGCAGCCACAGGCAACATTTAAGCCCCTCAGTCTGATCACGCTCACACTCCCATGGCTCCGTGGCACACCTGGAACAGAGCCCCATCTCCTCTCCCTGGCCCTGAGGCCCTGCATGACTGGCCCCTGCTGACCCTGACCCTCACCTCCCAACAATCACCCTTTTGCTCACTCCACTCCGTCCACACACTGGCTTTTGTTGTTCTTCTGTTTGTCAAGCACACTGAGCCTCAGGACCTTTGCACATGCCGTTTCCTCTGCCTGGAATGCTCTCCCTGCATGTGTGTGTGTGTCTGGCTGCTCTTCACCCTGCATGGCCCAGGTCTATGCCACCTCCTCTAGGAGGCCTTCCCAGACTGTTCCCCCCAAAACTAGACACCCACCGATGTCCATCACATCAGCCCATTTCATTTCCATTACTGTCAGAACTTCTCTGCCATGTGGAGGGCCTGGAGGGCACTTAGGCCCCGACCCAGGGGCCCCTGAAGGTCCCATCAGCCCTGAGAAGCTGGGTCCATTCATTTACTCTTTCCTCTACTCCACAGATTCATTAGTTGAGCACCTTCTGAGAACGTACCAGGTCCTCCCTGAGGGGCAGAAAAGCAGAGGTGAACAAGCCAGATAGACTCCCAGGCCTCCCAAAGCTCACAGCCTGATGGGGGAGGCAGACAGGAAACATGGAAACCCATAAATAAACAAGACTTCAAATTGTGAAAAGTGCTCTGCAGTGAATAAATAGGGGGATGTGATGGAGAATGCAGGGGCGCTACTTTAGGTGTGGAGATTGGGGAGGAAGACACTTGAAGAACTGAAGAAGCCAGGCATGAGAAATCTAGGGACAGAGCACACAGCATGTACAAAGGCCCTGGGATGGCACCAGCACGTGCAAAGGTCCTGAGGTTAGCTTGATGTGTCCAAACAACAGAAGGAATGGCAGAGAGGGTGGAATTGGGCTAGAGATGGGCAGAAGGAGGAGCTGAGGTCGCAGCTGGGATTTCAATCTCCGTGCCTTGGGAAATCACTGGAAGGTTTTAAGCTCAGAGCTACAGAATCCAATCTTCATTCTAGAAAGTCTCCTCTGGCAGCTGTTGGCCACCTCTGCTCCTCCCCCTCTCCCAGGTTGGAGGTGCCACCTTTCCGTCACATACCTCCCCAGGTGAGGCCACGGGACAGGAGGGGGCATTCTGATGTTTGCCGGGGCCGTGGGCAGGGCTGGCGGCTTCTTCAACCAATGCGTTGGAGTAAAGGAAGAGATCCTCGTAATCCACATTTGCTGGATCCTTCTGTGGGGCAGAGGGGACCTGCAGCTCACCCCCAAGGAGGGGAACAGGGATGGGGCCGGGGTCCCGGACCCTGGAAGTTGGGGCTCAGGGGCTGCCCCACCCACACACCTTGTAAGGAAGCATGCCCGCCCACAGCAGCTTACATGGGCTAGACCCTTGCCCTGAGCCTTATGAAGAAACTCCTATTCCCGTAGATCAGCCAGGTTACACTGGCACCTGAAGCGCTCGTGGTAAAAGAGCATCAGCCAGGGGAGGGACTAGGGCAGGGCCGTGGGGGGACAGCGCCCCCGAGAGCGACAGAATCACAAGAGGCTGAAGGGGGCGGTGGGCGGCTTGGCCCCTGGGAGGGCGGCTGCAGCTCACCCGGGGCCGACACTCACCTGCCCACAGGGCTGTGTCAGCCACTCCCCGTGAAGCCGCCCTGGCTGCTGCTGGTGGAAGGCGACCAGGGCGTCCAGCGAGGCATGGGCCCTCTCCTCCCCCGGGATCACGAAGCTCCCGTCATCCAAGAGCTTCACCATGACGTGACGGCAGCAGCTCCGGGCTCTGCGGAGACACCGCCGGGGCTGGGACATCCCATTTCCCCTCATTCTGTCCCCTTCCAGCCCTTGAGCTGGCAGCATCAGGGCGGCAGCCTCACAGCCCAGGTTCTCACATAGGCTTCTCCACGCATTAGCCACAGGATACTTGGTAGGTGACTAACAGCCCCATGCCTCAGTTTCCCCGTCTATAACATGGGGCTACTAAGGCTGACCTCTTGTGAAGATGAAACAAGCTATTGCAGGTAAAAGCTTAGCTCGGTGCCTGGCCAGGGGAAAATGACCAATAGAAATGATGACAATGAAAATCTGAGTCAGGTCCCAGTCTAAGGCTGTGTGCCCGGCACACAGCCGGTGCTCAATAAATGTTCTCTTAATGAATGGATGCATTTATTAATGGCTCATTATGTGCTTACTATATCTTATTTAATCCTCACATCAAGACTCGGAATTAATTTTAGCAGTCCTAAGTTAGAGATGAGGACTTTGAGGGAGGCACACAGAGGTTGAGGACCTTGTCCAGGGTCACACAGCATGTAAGTGGCAGAGCCAAGCCTTGGACTGTGTGACTCAAGGCCTAAGATTTTCCCACTGGAGGTAACTTTGTAATGGAGCCATTGGGTTGTTTTATTCCTTTGGCCTGCAGGCCTTTTGAAAAGTAGTTTGTGGTGCTGAATCCTCTGAGATGTCAGATCATGTTTTGAGGCCTCAAGGTGCTGGACTGCTGTGAGTTCCCTAATCCATCCCCCTGGGTGGATGCAGAGAGTTGCCAAGTAGATGGTGGAGGGGACAGGGGATTAGGGGAAGGGCGGTAGCCACTCTCGGGCCCCCAGCAGTCCCTGTTCTCAGACACACGATCTCAGGTACCACCAGCCCCATGTCTGCTGTTTACAGCTGGACCTGCAGCCACTCACTCTTCAGCAAGACTCTGCCAGACCCTCACATGAGTTGCTCTCTGAGAAGCTGTGGTGTGAAGCACCCCTTGCCCCTCCCAGGAAGCGCCCGAGCCCTCCTGCCCCTGCCCCGGCCGCAGCCCAGGCCTTACTTGTAGGAAAGCGTGTAGCCCACGTGGCTGTGGCTGACTCTGATGAGGAAGCATCCCAGTGGCTGTGCCTCCAGCAACTTCTCCGCGTCCCTGGACGGACACACACAGGTGGGGATGGCTGAGGTCCAGCCGCCAGCGTCCTGGCCAGACTCCTGGTGCGCCAGGCGTCCCAGGACTGAACGTGCCACCTACGGCCTTGCTGACCCTGGGCTGTTTCAGACCTTGGGACAGCCAGGGACAGGGACGTCCCCCCAGAGGGGCACACAGCCTCTGACGACCTGACCGCAGGAGACCTGCTCCCGTCCCCAGTGCCTGGAACCCCCCAGGCACCTCTGCGGGGGTCAAGGCGCCAGCGGTAACAGGGCAGGAGCTGTCTCAGACGCATGAGAGCTCCAAAGCCAGCTGTGCTCCTCATTAGCTGTGTGACCCCTGGCGGGGCTGGTCCCTTTCTGACCTGCAGCTTCCTCGAGGGGAAAGCAGCCCCTCATGCCCAGGGCTGACATGAGAACAGATGAAATGTGGGTGCCGGGCGCGTGGGAACAGCTCCCTGGCGAGTGCTCACAAAGCATCCACTATTGTCACTACGGTTATTCACTGTGATTGTTACTACTGCTATCTGGGGTTCAGAGAGAGGAAGGTGGCCTTCATGGGACAAGATGGGAGCCTGTGACCCACGTTGTCCAATACAGAGGCCACCGACCACGTGTGGCTGCTGAGCACTTGAAACGTGGCTGGTCCGAATCAAGATGTGCTCTCAGCATGCAAAACCCACCAGATTTTGAAGACTTTGTACAAATAAAGGGACTATACCGTCTCGTGAATGACTTCTGAGTACTGATTACACATGGGAATGACAAGACCTTGGATATACTGTACTGGGTTAAATAAAAGACATGATTAAAATGAATTCCACCTGTTTCTTTTCACTTCTTTTACCATAGCTACTAAAAACTTTAAGATTGCAATGTGTGGCTCACATTATATTTCTATCGGTGTGCCCCAGAACTCAGAAACGTGCCCAGTTCCTCCTCTTTGCGGCTGTCACAATGTTCTCTCAATTTCCCACATGCAGAAGGCGGCAATAAGTGTTCTTTTTCCCTTTCATTTAGAGCCAGGCCCTGGGGGTGGCTAAGCAGGTGAGTTTGTGCATGTCCTCAGAGCTCAGTCTGATGTAGCAAGTGCATGTTGGCTACCTTCTCGCTGCACAGAGGGCAGCTGTTAGGGACTGTACTAAGAGGGGTTCTGAGGCTGCAGGCTGCCAGCATTGATTGGTGATGCCCGGTGTGCATGAGCGGGGTAAGGGCCTGCCAGATCTCTATGCTAGACAAAGCTGAGGTCCAGAGAGGGGAAACAACTTGCCCAAGGTCACACAGCAAGGAGGCAGGATTCAAGCCCAGGACTCCATAGCTCTTTTCACTCTCTTCACCCACTGAGCTGAGCTGAGCCCAGAATTCTGCAGTGAAAACCTGCCGTGGGCGGTGGGATAGACAAGGAAAGAGGGGAAGGGCAGGGTGGAAGATGTGGGTGTCCTCACTCTCTCGAGATGGCACCGTGGAACCAGGCAGGGACCCCTCCTTGGGCCAGCTGGCCCACCTGTGTCTGCACGAACCAGTCGAGTCGTGGGGGCAGCGGCGGGGGCAGCTTTCCGGCCTCTGTCATGGCTTCCTGGGGATGGTGACCTGGGGCAGGAGGGAGGAGAGAGAGTCAAGTCTAGTCTACCTCCCATCTTTGCTCTATTCTTGCAGCTCATGGTGCCTCCTCCTCTGAGAAGCACTCCAGGCTGCTCAGGGCAACAGACTTGAAACTGGCTTGCGTTTCGTGAGCAGCTACTATGTGCTGGCACTGATGTGCATTCATTCATCGACTCCTCCTGAAAATCCTGCGAGGATTTTTCCTTTTCCTTTTATTCTTGTTATGCCATTACTACAAGTGTTAGGAAGCTCCCTTTGTAAATATATGTATTTAAGTTTAGGAACTGAGTTTAAGTGTTAAGTAAATATCAACCTCTCTGGAGGGTGTGGAGATGGCACCATGGTAGGTGAATGAATGAAATAGCTGACACACGGTGGCACCACAAATGGCTGCCATGGTTCGTTCAACACTAGGGAGAGGTGGCCCCAAATGGTCACCTCTGCTAACAACGTTGCCACACGTGATGGCCACTGATGGCACACCTGTAACGTGTCAGGTGCAACATTAATTAACACGCGTTCTCGACAATCTTAAGCTGAAGATGCCACTGGACTTTGTGAGCCAATGACAGGGAGGCGGAAAACAGCACCAATTTGCAAAACAGTGTCAGGTCGGGGTAAAACCAGCACGAGGGTCATGCCCTGCTCGATTGTCCACTCGTGACCTCTCACTCTCACCCTTAATTCTCTCTCCAAACCAGAGCTCCGGCCCCCCGCTGGCCCGTCTAATATTTCAATATCGCAGAAGGTCGTTGTTACCAGGCTGTTTCCACAGGGAGGGGGCGGGTGGACAAACCCAGTCAATATTGACTCTCTCCTGCTAGAAGACAGATGCGAGCACGCCCTCTGGGAAGCAGCCCACAGGAATTCTGCAGCAAGTGACATTAAATACATCTATTAAGAAATGTTTAATAAAGCAGGGTGACAAAGCAATTAAGAGCCTGGAATCAGAGCCAGACAGCCTAGGTTCAAACCCCAGCTCCCCCACTTAGCCACTGTGTGTGACCTTGGGCAAGTCACTTAACCTCTCTGTGCCTGTATTTTCATCTGCAATTTGGGGATAATGATGATATTTAACCTGGGAAGGCATAGCTGGTACAGAGCTAAGCATTGTATAAGTATATAATAAATATTCATGAATCCAGTTGTGACTAAGCATGGGGTAATGTTTCCAGGCTTGTTCTTTTTTTCTACCTGCGAGACTTCCTACTTATCCTTCAAGACTCAACAAAAATATCCCCTCCTCCAGGCAACTTTCCTGCCTCTTCCCCTAGACAAAGCTCTGGCACCCTTCTCTGTCCCCCACCTTCCCCACCGTCCCTGCCTCTGGTCTCGCCTCGCTTCATGCAGCTGGAGTGTCTATGTCTGGTTCTGTCTGCTCCAGATCAGAGGCTTCTGGGGACCGGGGCCCAGGGCTAGGTTCTTTTGGATTTTTCTGAGTCCCCAGCATCATCTGGCACTGGGCAGGCCCAGAGGACGGTGCAGGGCTGTTGGCTGATAAATAACTAGCTATTCTTGAATAGATATGAATAACTACTCTATTTGCTGATGAATGAACCCACACTAAGTTTCAAACTCCTGACCCTGGCACTGGGACTTCCCTGGCCTCCTCTTCCCCCACATTCCAGCCCTAAGGACATCCTTGCTCTCTACCCAAAACAGATCAAGCTCTCTCTCCCCTCCTCACCTTCGCACACGCTGTTGCCCTGCCAGGAATGTCCTTTCCCCAAATCCAGCTCCACCTCCTAATGGTCACCTGCCAGTGCCCCCCAAAAATTCCTCCTGCCTCTCTGGTCCCCGCCAGCCCCATCCCTCCTTCTGGCCCAGCCGGGCCCCCATGCTCTGTCTCCTAGAGGGCCAGGATGGGGCTCAGTGAGCATGGGGCGGACACAGAGGTGGGCATGTGGCTGGCTGAGGGGCCCCCGCTGGGGCACGTACCTGGGAGACCCCTGGGCCCCGAGGCCCTGGCTCTGGCTGTGCTCGCTGCCTGCAGGAGCTTGTGTTTCGGTTCAGGGTCTGCACGTCAGCAGGGCGGGGCCACTGCCCCTGGGAGGTTCCTGTTTTCTTAAGCAGGTGGGCCCCGGGGGCGCGACCAGGACAACCCCAGTCGCCCTCTGTCTTCAGTCCAGCAAAGCTGCTGAGCTGCAGGTGGAGGGACACTCTTGCTCCCCCGAGACCTTAACAAGCCTTTAGGGAGCACCTGTTGTATGCCAGATCCTCAGAACACAGAGGTGACCCCAAGACAGGTGCTCCCGGCATCTATAGTCTAGCGGGCAATGGAGAGGAGGGAGAAATTATTAATGTCGCTGTTTCAAAGAGGACAGCCCATCAGGAAGGCGGGACTGGAGTTCAAGAACCCTCAGAGGGGCCTAACTGATCTGGAGGAAGGGGCACCCGTGTGGGTGGGAGTCAACTCGATCTATGGGGGGTGCACAGAGTGCTCTAGGTGGAGAGAACAGCACGGGCAAAGGCCCTGAGGCAGGATGGAGCCTCGACAGGCTGGGGCCTCACTGTGTGCACAGGACCACGTTATGACTTACTTTGTTAAAAAAAAAAAAAAATCACATTTAAAATGATAGTTTACGACTGCATTGGCACCAAGACCAGTGTAGCCTGGGCTGGATTCATTATTATATATTCATTTTTATTGGACTCAGTTTTTTCCTCTGATTTTAAAAAACTAAAGCGTTTTGGGGGCCCCTACACACGGCGTGGGCCCGGCACCTAGCGGATCCGCCGCCCCGGATGTGTGCTGGCTGACCTCCGCAGCACACGAGGAAACCACTTCCTCCTTCCCTCTCAGGCGGATGCGCCCAGATCCTCCGCGGAGCGGGGCCTTCCCGCGGGCTTATCGCCCCGGCCAGGCGGGCCTGAGAGCCTCCACTGTAGGCTCCCGCTGGGCCCCTCACGGCCCCGCTCTTGGGAGGGGGCCCTTATCTGGAGCCTGCAGGTCAACCAGGCCTGAGCAGGAGGCACATGGGGCTCGCCTTCTCACTCCCCCACTGTGTAACCTTGGGTGAGTCGCTCCACCTCTCTGGGCCTCAGTTTCCTCATCTGTGAAGTGGGCACCTAATGGCACTCCCTAGTCACGGGAGGATGGCGGGAGGGACAACCTTCAAGCAGGCAGCACGGGCTCGTCAGGAGTAACAACACCAGGACTCTTCACCGTGACTGAACCTGACGCCTTTGTGCCTGGCGGGGCGACGCGGGCTGGGGCTGCAGACCTCACCGGCCGGGCAGCCTCGGGCACTCACTTCACCTCTCTGACCCTCCATGCCCTCCGCTGCCCAGTGGGCTGGCGTCCAGCCTCGACGATGAGGAGCAACGTGCTGGGGAGGGGATCAGAAGTGCCCAAGAGACCTTGTCACTCAGAAAGCCTGGCCATCGGGGGTCTCATGTACGTGGAGCTCAGTCTCCAGAAACATGGGGCGCTTCAGCCCACCCCCCACCGGGCCCCGGAGGCTCCACCACAGGGCTCCGCCCTGATTGCCCTGACCTGCTTGGGGGATGTGGTCTCCCACAGACTAACGTCCCCGCTGAGAAGGTCACAACAGAATCACCCCCACCCCGCGGTGACCACAGTCCTCCAACCGACAGGTCCCCCCACCCAGGAACTTCCAGAAGAGGACCAGCAGGGACATAAGGGCTGGGACTCGATGGCCCCTGCCCACCCCCAACGTCAGCCCCGCCCCTCCGATCTCAGCCCCTCCCCTCTGGCGTCAGCCCCTCCCCCTCCGACGTCCGCCCCCCCTCCGACGTGAGCCCCTCCCCCTCGGATGTCAGCTCCTCCCCCTCCGACGCCGGCCCCTCCTCCCCGGCGTCAGCCCCTGCCCTCTGTATCAGCTCTGGGCTTCTAACTGGAGGCCTCGGCTAGTTAGTAGGACTTTCAGGGCCCCATGTGCGGTGGCTTTTGGGGTAGGCCACCACAATGCCATCTCAGCCCTGGGGATATGCTGGGGCTGTAGATGTCAGGGGTGGGGAAGTCAAGCTCTGCCAACGCTGGGCTTTATGCAGTTTTACGGTTCTGTGGTCCACGCTGCCTCCATTCTATTCATTCACTCATTCATTCCACAAACATTGATTGAGCTCCAACTGTGCGCACCATGCTAGATGCTGCGGATGAAGCAGAAGACAGGCACTGTCCCTGCCCTGCTGGAGCCCACAGTCGGTGGGGAGACATGATGCCAAGTCTACATGCAGGAAAGGCTGGCAGAAGAGGTGACGGCAAGGGCAAAGGCTCTGGGGTGGGAATGAACTTGGCACGCTTGAGCAGCAGACAACAGCCAAGGTGTTCAAAAGGTGGAAATAACCCAAGTGTCCATCAACAAATGAATGGATAAAAAATGTGGTTCTTCCATACAATGGAATGTCAGCCATAAAAAGGAGTGAAGCACTGACACAGTATAATATGATGGACCTCGAAAACTATGTGGCGTGAGAGAAGCCAGACACAAAAGGCCACGTAGTGTACGAGTCCATGTGCATGAAACGTCCAGAACAGTCAAATCCACAGAGACAGCAGATGGGTGGTTGCCAGGGGCTGGGGGAGGTGGGTGGGGAGTGACTGCTCATGGGGACAGGGTGATGAAAATGTTCTAAAACTGACTGTGGTGATGGTTGCACAACGCTGCAAATATAGTAAAGTCCACTGAATTGCACTTTGGTGGGTAATGGTATGGTGTATGAATTATATCTCAATAAAGCTATTATAGAAAAAAAAGCCGAGATGTCATCTCTCTCAGTACAAGAGGACAATGGCTGAGAAGCCACTTCCCTGCCTGCCACCCCATCAAAGTCCTTAGAAATAAGAAAAATCAGTGACTCTGAGGAAGAGGTTGAGTGTAAGGTGGGACTGAAGAGTTCAAGGACTCCACTTGACCTGGTTGGGGGCAGCTGGTGGAAATTTGGAGCATTATGGAGCAATACTTACAGCTCAAAGCTGTAAGCTTTTTGGAAGACTTGTTCCCCACTAGAGACAAGATATGAAAAGAGAAGCGAGTTTTTCCCTTGGGGCACAAGACGAATAATGATGCTAACAATGATGATGGTGATGATGATATGATGATATTAATGAGGAGGAGGAGGATGATGATGTTGACAGCAGCTCACCTCCTGGTGCTCGACTGTCTCTCCCAGTAGGGGCGTGCCACCTCACCGGCTCTTCATAGCCGTCCTATGAGGTGGGAACTATGATTGTGCCTGTTTTACAGACGAGGGAACTGAGGCTTAGGCCTCGGTTGTGCCGTGGGTCTGAGGCTGTGCTGGGATCCAAGCCCAGGCTGCTCCCTCTTACCCATGACCTGTGAAGGGCTCAGAAGCAAGCCAGGCACGGGGGCGGGGCGGGGCGGGGCGGGGGAGGGTCTCCCAGCATTTGCTATTAATTGCCATTAGCCATCCCTTTCTCCAAATTTTGCGGCTTTGGGGAAGAGTGGAAAAAAAGCAAAGGTTTCCCAAGTGGCCATTTCTCAGGCACCATTGGGGGACTGTGAGTTTTAGAAGCAGGATTCGGGGCCCTCCTGGAGCGGTGGCTCAGAGGGCTTGGGGAGGGGAACCTTGACAAAGTTCCAGAGAGATGTTGATGGAGCCCTGCCAGGGACTCCCAGGACAGGCCCCTAATCCCATCTGGGGGAAAGAATTGTATGGCGGGAGCTCCAAACCCACCCCCGAGTTTGCACTGCCTTCTCCTCAGTGAGCTTCCGGGGCAGTGTGGGGGCCCAGAGGAGGGAAGTCTGGGACAAGGAGCTGCCGTCCAGGTTGCAGAGAAGACAGGATATCAGCTCCTCCCTGCTCACTCCTGGAGGCCATGTGCATGTCCATTAACTTATGGGTGCAGGCCACACATGAACATACCACGAGGCCCCTGTCCTCGTTCGTGGAACTTACATGCTGAGGGGTGATGAGAGTTGGCCGTGAGAACAAGTAACTTCTGATAAATGCCACGAAGATGGGGTGGGAGGAGAGAGGGTCGTGGTTGGCGAAGGTCTCTGCAGAAGTGGCCCTGGATGGCCATGACCTGATGGATGAGTGGGCTGTGCAGACTCAGAGTACTCCCAGACAGAGGGCGTAGCAAGTGCAAAGGCCCTGGGGAAGTGAAAAGCATGGGGTAAAGCAGTAAGGCAGAAGGGGGGCCAGAGTGGGGTGAGCCAGGGGAGAATGGCCAGAGAGAAGGGAGAAGGTGGGCGGCTCCCCAGCACGCAGGGGCCCCCAGTGAGGAGTGTGAGTTGTACCTAGGTACAAGAGGGAGCTGGGGGTGACACCATCTTATTTCTCTTTCCTAAAGATACCCTGAACATAGCCCGAAGGACAAAAGGGAGGCTGGGACGGAGGTCCAGGGGTGGTGGCTCCAATGCAGGAGGGGGAGGAGGATGGAACCCCAGGTAGGAGCTCTCTCTTGGCTGTGTTCCAGGTATGGTGCTGAGGAGACATCTAAATTGGAACAGACAGCAGGCAGGTGGCCGTGGGGGTCTGGAGCTCAGCTGGACCTGCAGGCCGGAGTCCCTGGTATGTCTAAGGCCTGCTGGCAGGGCTGACCCTTGGCTGGCCTGGGAACCTGGCTGGTAAACAGTTCCCTGTGCTGACACAGAACTTTCCCTACATGATGTGTGGCTCACAACTGTGCCTAAATGGTTTATACAAACGATACGGTTTATGCTCAACACCTGCTTTCTTTCTAGGAGGCTGGAATCCTGGTACATCCAGACAGAGGGTGCCACATGGCCAGCCCCAGTAAAAACGCTGGGCGCTGGGTCTCTCAGGAGTGTGCCTGGTAGACCACACTGTACACGTGCGCTCACAGCTTGGGGACGGGGAAATTAAGCGCGTCCTGGGGGACCCCACGGGGACGGGACTCCTGGAAGCTTGTGCCTGGTGCTTCCAGACATGGCCCCATTTGCCTTTTCTCTGTGCCCATTTCCCTTTGTACCCTCTGCTGTAATACATCAGCTATATGCCAAGTCCTAGTGAACCAGTGAACCTGGGGGTGGTCTTGGGGACACCCAACAGAATGGAAGGAACCCCCTGGAAAGCCAGTCTGGAGAAGTGGGCCCTGAAAAGAGCCACGGGGGAGGTGGGAGG